TCTAAAACAATTTAATACACTATAAATATCCCCTTTATTATGTTCATTTATCCACTTGTAAACCTCTATCATGTCACCCTTTAACTCTTCTCCTTTCCAGTGAATGCAATTTAGGTATGTATGCATGTATTTGGTATGTATACATGTATTTTGTATGTATGCATGTATTTGTGACTGTTGGCCCAGAAACAAGTTAGCCGATTTGCGCAGCAAGACTAGGATTCCCGAGGTCCGGGAACGATCAACTCATTAATATAGTGGCCAGCATTTACCATGTCAATTCCTCTGAGAATTTTGTAGGTAGTGATCATGTCTCCTCGAGCTCACCTGTCTTCCAGCGACATGAAGTGCATTTCACTCAGCCTATCCTCGTAATTCATGCCTCTTAGTTCTTGGAATAGACTAGTGGCATGCCTCTGAACTGTATTCACCTAGTTGTGCTTGCGCGGGTTGAGCTCTACTCTTTAGACCCGCCTTTCAACTGTCAATCAATCAATCAACTTTTTTTTACACACCACACACACACACACATTCCCAGGAAGCAGACCGTAACAGCTGTCTAACTCCCAGGTACCTATTTACTGCTAAGTGAACAGGCGCACCAGTGGCGAAAGAAACTGCCCATTTCTTTCTGCCTCGGTCGGGAGTCGAACCCGGGCCATTAGAACTACAACCCCCGAGCGCTGTCCACTCAGCCGCGAGGCCCCATGTGTATATGTGTGTGTCATTGACAATATATACCCCCTTATCCCCCCCGCCCCCTGTCCCTAACAGCCCATCTGAGTATGTGTACATTGAGACAGTTAATACGCTTGTGTGTAGAGAGAGAGAGAGAGAGAGAGAGAGAGAGAGAGAGAGAGAGAGAGAGAGAGAGAGAGAGAGAGAGAGAGAGAGAGAGAGAGAGAGAGAGAGAGAGAGAGAGAGAGAGAGAGAGAGAGAGAGAGTGTTGTCAAAATGGCATCGCTCCCATATTTTCCCGGGCCACCGGCAGATTACCTGGCCACGGTCCACATGTGAGCTACACACAATTCAGAGACAAAGTGCAAGCTCTTTCTCCTGGTTCAAAAAGATACAAGGGGCACCCATTAAGAACAAAGGACTTCTGTGGTGCCATATATATATATACGATATTATATATATATTAATATATATATATTTATATATATATATATATATATATATAATATATATATATATATATATAATATATTATATATGTATTGTGTGTGTGTGTGTGTGTGTGTGTGTGTGTGTGTGTGTGTGTTTGTGTGTTTTGTTGTTGTTCATGCTTCTTCTGTTGTTATTGTTGATAATATTGGATGAAAATTATCAGAAGCGATATTTACTTTGTAAATGTAAATTTACTTTTAATTTACCTATAGAAAACTGATTGTCAAAGGTGCCTTTACGTTAATTTTCACCAATTTTTAATATTCTCGCATAAACATTTTCAGGATATGACGTTATATTTTCATTTGTATAAGAACACAATAAACATAGGCACACTTTTTCACTATTGAGGCTAACTGCTCAACCATTTACAACGAACAAACGAATGATCAAATTGCAGAAACTCGCAATGAGTGAGAAATCATCATAATTAGGGGACTACGCTATATAAAGTCAAGAACAGAGTTCCTACATTAATGCTTTACAAAGTCTGCTATTCACAAATGGTATATAATTGTGCAGAGGAGGAGTCACAATAACGTGGCTGAAATATGTTGACCAGATCACACACTAGAGAGTGAAGGGACGACGACGACGACGTTTCGGTCCGTCCTGGACCATTCTCAAGTCCAGGACGGACCGAAACGTCGTCGTCCCTTCACTTTCTAGTCTGTGGGTTGGTCAATGTAGATAATTGTACTCGGAGGGCAAATATCCTGGATTTGACTGTAACTACTAAATGAGTAGTTAGTAAATAATGTAATTAAGTGTGAGGACTACTGCTCAAGTGATCCTTGCTATAAAACTGTTAATATCAAAATAAATAAACGTGTGTTGAACGTGTCAAGGTTAGAGATTTTATTTCATGCGATATCCAACTATCATATAATATATCAAACCATCTATCGATCTATTTATCCGTCTATTTAATCATCTATCCATCCATCTACTGTCTTTGACTCTGCGTCTGTCTTTAAGTCTGTGTGTGTGTGTGTCTCTCTCTCTGTGTCTCTGTCTGTCTCAGTGTGTCGCTGTATTTGTCTATTTGTCTAACGAGTGGGAGGTCGACATTAACAACAGGTGACACAATACTGACTAAACGAATCGAGCTAAATGAAGCAACAGTTCCAAACTGTGTTTTGAAGCCACACACACACACGTGTTTCAATAAAGTTGTGATATAATGTATATATATATATATATTTAGATATTACATATAATATTAAACAAGTTACCGCACCTAAACAGCATAGCATCAGGATCGGTTATACACCGGCATGTTATGAGAGTATAAGGTGTTGAAAGAGGATCTTGTGTGTGGATACACAGCTGTTGAAGAGGTTTCACACCGGACATTGGAAGCTGCAAATGGGATTCCGCTCCATTAAAGAGAATTTGATTGTCCAAAGTGACGCCCTGTAATTTGTTCCTTGTGTTGCTCCTTGAGAATTCTTTTTTGACCCTTTTAGTGGTGATTGTGGGAGAGAAGAGAATAGGGAAATAGGAGAGGAAACAAAGAGGATGAGGAGGAGGAGGACAACTGGAATGTGTTTACCTATTAGTATTTACTTAACAGTGTCTATGGGAAGGGAAGTCTAGCTCCTTACCTGGAACGTACCTGCATAGAGACGGTTGCGAGAGTTTTTCTACTGGCCGAATACGGTCTTATTTGCATTTTACATTATCCACTTATGTCCTCTAGTCCTACTTTCTTTCAAGAGGCTGGTCTTGTTCACCTGTGTGATCCCTGTATGTTGCGATCATGTCCCCTTTGTCTTCTCTCCTCCTTGCTTGTGAGGCCGCGTTCCCTTTACCTGTCTTCAGAGTTCAGTCCTCTTAGCTCCGGCACCAAGCTTGCTGCGTACATTTGTACTTTTTCCAGTTTGGTTTTGTGCTTCACAAGTGCGGATTCCAGACCGGTGCTGCATATTCCAGTATTGGTGTAACAAAAGACTGGGTAGATTGGATTGAAAGATGCCTGGATTAGGTTCCTAAACGACGCTCTAATATTTGTCAACGTCCCATTTCCCAAGTCCCATTTCCCAAGTCCCATTTCACAAGTCCCATTTCCCAAGTCCCATTTCACAAATCCCATTTCCCAAGTCCCATTTCACAAGTCCCATTTCCCAAGTCCCATTTCCCAAGTCCCATTTCCCAAGTCCCATTTCCCAAGTCCCATTTCACAAGTCCAATTTCCCAAGTCCCATTTCCCAAGTCCCATTTCACAAGTCCCATTTCCCAAGTCCCATTTCACAAGTCCCATTTCCCAAGTCCCATTTCCCAAGCCCCATTTCACAAGTCCCATTTCCCAAGTCCCATTTCACAAGTCCCATTTCCCAAGTCCCATTTCCCAAGTCCCATTTCACAAGTCCCATTTCCCAAGTCCCATTTCCCAAGTCCCATTTCACAAGTCCCATTTCCCAAGTCCCATTTCACAAGTCCCATGTCATGCTGATTTTTTGTAAAGATCTTCTAAAATCTCTTGTTGAGTTCCCCATACATCTCCTTGTAGTTTCCCTGTGAGAAGTTTCTTGTTGTGTTCCTCCTAAGGTGACTATAGAACAGCTTTGGTTGCTCCTTGGCTTTCCCAGCACCGTTGTTTTTACAAATTACTTTTCAACTTCCCTCTTGACTTGGGTGAACTCCTTTCTGGATCTGCTAATTGTCTCTCTATTGTTCTCCATTCTTAGTTGCTTTGTAATTTTCCAGGCTTTTCCAGTACCTTCCAGAACACCATCAACCCACCTCCTAGCCCACCACCACCTCCTACCCCACTATCAACCCACCTCCTAGCCACCATGAACCCACCTCCCAGCCCACCACCACCTCCTACCCCACTATCAACCCACCTCCTAGCCCACTATCAGCCCACCTCCCAGCCCACCACCACCTCCTACCCCACTATCAACCCACCTCCTAGCCACCATCAACCCACCTCCTAGCCACCATCAACCCACCTCCCAGCCCACTATCAACCCACCTCCTAGCCACCATCAACCCACCTCCTAGCCACCATCAACCCACCTCCCAGCCCACCACCACCTCCCAGCCCATAAACCAAACCCTACAGCCAAACAAGGCAGTTCCTGATCTCTCCTCCACCAATCAGGGTGCTTCACGCTCGCCTAATTCCATTACCTGAACAACTTATGGTCGACATTCTTGAAAATAAACCCATCACCTGCGGTGAAAAAGACCTTGATTGTGAGAAGATTTCATTCCCAGCTTCTCCATGTTGACCTAACCAACTTTAGGGTTGTTATAATGTTTTAATACGACTGATTATATTCAACCAACATTTCTGAATGGAGTTTGAGGCTTAATGGCTTTCATAAGACATTTTTTTAATTGAAGTTTTCTCGGTGATTTTTTGTTTTTCGGTTTTGATTTCGAGGATTTGATAAGAGTTTAATTGTTATCGCTTCATTATATCGTTATATTTTTGAGGGTATTTAGACTATATTGGTTAAAGTTGAGCTTATGTGCTTTTTACGCAGAAGAATTAAGTTTTTTTAAGCTTTTTAAGCTGAAGAATTAACTTTTATTGTTTGCAAAGTAATTGTTCGTGTGTTTGAATATATTTAAGTTGCTTTGGTCAAGCTACTTTTCACATAACATTAAAAAGTAAACTGTTAACGGAATTAACAGTTTATGACGTTATTATTAACTGTTAACGGAACATAATAACGTCACAGAGTTATAATATTGGGTAAGGTATCTAACTTTGTGCCCGGGTCCAGGCGGGGGAAGGCCGATGTCCTGGAGACATCAGAACTTTACAAGTGCTTCCTTCAGCTGCTGAAGTCCCTCTGGTGGATCCACTGAGCCCCATGACGGAGCATGGGGAGGATCCTGAACCCTTGACGGAACATGGAGAGGATCCTGAGCCTTTGACGGAGCATGGGGAGGATCCTGAGCCCTTGACGGAGCATGGGGAGGATCCTGAGCCCTTGACGGAGCATGGGGAGGATTCTGAGCCCTTGACGGAGCATAGGGAGGATTATGAGCCCTTGACGGAGTATGGGGAGGATCCTGAACCCTTGATGGAACATGGGGAGGATCCTGAGCCCTTGACGGAGCATGGGGAGGATCCTGAACCCTTGATGGAACATGGGGAGGATCCTGAACCCTTGACGGAGCATGGGGGAGATCCTGAACCCTTGACGGAGCATGGGGAGGATCCTGAACCCTTGACGGAGCATGGGGGAGATCCTGAACCCTTGACGGAGCATGGGGAGGATCCTGAGCCCTTGACGGAGCATGGGGAGGATCCTGAACCCTTGATGGAACATGGGGAGGATCCTGAACCCTTGACGGAGCATGGGGGAGATCCTGAACCCTTGACGGAGCATGGGGAGGATCCTGAACCCTTGACGGAGCATGGGGGAGATCCTGAACCCTTGACGGAGCATGGGGAGGATCCTGAGCCCTTGACGGAACATGAGGAGGATCCTAAACCCTTGACGGATCATGGGGAGGATCCTGAACCCTTGACAGAGCATGGGGAGGATCTTAAACCCTTGACGGAGCATGGGGAGGATCCTGAACCCTTGACGGAGCATGGGGAGGATCCTGAACCCTTGACGGAGCATGGGGAGGATCCTGAACCCTTGACGGAGCATGGGGAGGATCCTCAGCCCTTGACGGAGCATAGGCGGGATCTTGAGCCCTTGACGGAGCATGGGGAGGATCCTGAACCTTGACAGAGCATGGGGAGGATCCTGAACCATTGACGGGTTTAGGATCCCATCACACTTACACCCAAGTATAAGGTCTTGTATGTGGTATAAGGTATACCCAAGTGTAAGGAGTCTGTTGACAGCTGGTTGAGTGTTTGATGTGTAGTGCTTCAGGTATGTCAGATCTTCTATTGTCCTTGTCTCTGTCAATTATTTCGGTGCTGTTAATAAGGTTATCTATTGTGTGGGAAAAAACCCAGTTGATTGACAGTTGAGAGGCGAGACCAAAGAGCCAGAGCTCAACCCCCGCGAGCACAACTAGGTGAGTACCCACACACACACACACACACACACACACACACACACACACACACACACACACACACACACACACACACACACACACACACACGCGCGCGCGCGCGCGCGTACCTCCAGAGACGCCTGTCATCGACTTGTGGAGTCAGCTTCCAATATTGGCTAGCGTCTGCCAGGCCGCTCAAGTTGGTAAGGTGGAGGATAAGTCATAAATCATCTCAAGGTACATAGCCACGCGGTAATGTAAACACTCAAAGCGAGGGAGAGAGTGTGTGTGTGTGTGTATGCTCGCAAACTCCTTAAATTTAATTCTGCCCCGAGGGGGGAGTTTATTGGGCAGCGCCACTCATCTTGCGAGTGGACACACCGCCATAGCAGCATGTACAACACTCCCCAAAAGGAAGAAAACCCGCTGGGTTGTTCATCCTTGTAATCACTGCGTTACTGTACTACCATACACCACCTTCCAATGAGTGTGTGTATGCCTTGGGCTCTATATATAGAGTCATCGTGACCCTTACTGTTGGTCCTCTCATATCCGGGTCAGGTCACCACAGCGCCCCTGGTAACGTGGGGTTCACATATCTTCCTATCACTCAAAGGGCAACCTGTCCTCTCTCTTAATACGTCATATTTCTGACGGAATCAATCATATCCGTTTTCAAATGCGACGGATTAGGGCAAAATAACCGATCGTAATGTCGACGTTTTCTATGCCTCGGCTTCGATATGTTAGGTGGGTTGGTTGGGTTCGTTACGTTGTTGGACTGGACCAATTACGAAGCCTGTCCATCTGTCCTTAATCATGGCGGCTTCGCTAACAATCGTTAAACAGTTAACGAGCTCCGAGGCACTGTACGAGGTTGTTAATAAAAATAATAAGCCTTAGGTTGTAAAGGTTCCAAGCTCGTAAACTGTTTACTAAATGTAAACCGAGCTACCATAAGTGTTGAAAGATATTTCGTAAGTAGTTGCGTAAATGGTTGATGAATCATGCCTCCTGGTCGTAAGCACTACCTCGCAGAACAATTTGGGTTTGGTAGTTTGTTCGGTATTCAGTCAACAGTTACCAAGTCCGACGAGGTTGTTCAACAACAACAACAACAACGTCCTTGAGATAAGGACGACCTCGAAGCCCTCTACAGCTGGTCAACTGTTCAGCAAATATCAACAAAAGCCACCAAGATGGAGATGAGAGATGCAGAGATCTCACAAGTACCTTTTGTGGGTCCTGTATCCGGTCAGATATGAGCCAGATCATATCTGGTCTTATAAGTCAGCATCTTCACAGTAAACTTATCTGCCATACTCCTTGCCCCTCCCCCCCCCCATCTCTCTAACAGCATCCAAAACAGCAGTCTTCGGTCGCTGGATAAGGATTTAGGATAGGCTGGAGGAAAGGAATGGTGGCCAAGCACTTGTGGACCGTCGGGGGATTGAACGCCGACCTGCAAGAAGTGAGACCGTTGCTCTACCGTTTTTCTATGGCAGGAGATAAATGCCATTTAACACATCTATATACTACTGGACGTCCAAAGACGATCATATAGAACCTATATTAAAACCAAATATAAAACTACTTCTTCACAGACTACCAGAACTACCCTTCACAGGCTAATTACTCTTCACGGATTAACTAACTTCACGGATGTTATATTAAGTTGGATTAGAGTATGGTTATACCGACGGAAACAAAGAGTTAGTATAAATGGAGTTAAGCCAGGTTGATTCCTGGCTTAACTTGATATAATTCCTCGATATAAATGGAGTTAAGCCAGGTTGATTCCTGGCTTAACTTGATATAATTCCTCGATATAAATGGAGTTAAGCCAGGTTGATTCCTGGCTTAACTTGATATAATTCCTTGATATAAATGGAGTTAAGCCAGGTTAAACTCCACCACATGGGGTCACTGTGAAAACTCAAGACGGTCTCACCTTACACCTCTCTCTCTCTCTCTCTCTCTCTCTCTCTCTCTCTCTCTCTCTCTCTCTCTCTCTCTCTCTCTCTCTACTTCCTCCATCTCGATTCAGGTTGACCACTTGTTCCCAACTCTGGCTCAACCTCGAGAGGGGACAATACTGTCACTCTCTCACCCACGATTCCTCCCACAGTCTGAACCCTCTGCCTCCATTCACAAGCAGGATCTACCTTACCTCACAACCTCAGCAAGATGAGTTCCGGAGATAGTTTATGCATAACTGGTGCCGATCAACCCGGGACCACAAGCCATCCCTCCAGAGACTTGTAACATTAACTACAGCAACTACAAGGGTTTACAAGCCTCAAGCAATCATCCTCACTTCCACCAAGAGAAATTGTTCCCATCTTGTAATTCCTGGTCACAGAGGAAGTCACACCACACTGGAGACAATGTTATTAATTATCCAGCGAGCCGACAGGTGTCCAGGTGTTGCGTTCCGCTGATACCTGGAGATCGCACGCACTCACACACACACACACACATGCACACACACACGCACACACACACACGTGCGCACATAGCTGATCAGATGGCCATGAAGACAATAGCTTTATAGGGGTAATGGAGGGCTTGGGGGAGTAGAAAAACTCTCAGAACCCCATCCAGGTACAATCCAGGTACAACAACATGGCCGCTACACAAAGTGAGGCAGCAGAGCTCTGAAAGACTGAGAGGGAGCAGCATCTCTCAGACCCGGTCAATGACAGTAATAAGTAAGCGATGCTAACGGTCCGACTTCTTTTAAGGGTTCACCATAGCCCGTGCTACCTGGAACTTTTTTGTTCCAGGTAGCGAATCTTGAACAACAACAAAACCAGCGTCTCTGTATCTATCTATCTGTCTATCTGTCTGTCTCTTCGGGTTCTCCGTTTGCCTGTTCATCACTCTGTCCACCTTTCCGGGCTGGCTGTCTGCCTGTCTGCTTTTATATAAAACTGTTTTTAATACGGTTGGGATACCAGCCCGTCCTCCTAAGGTTTCCCAGCGTCAAGAAGACAGGCAATGTAACGTAGTCTCTCCTAACCTACCAGAGGACCCAAAACAGAAAACGGGACAGTACGTCACTTTCGCTACCCGCTTCAATTTTTCTAGTACGATAATTCTTGGCCGTATGGAACGGCATACGTGCAAAATGCGACGTTCTTTGTAGGAGGACAGGTTCGTGTGTGTGTGTGTGTGTGTGTGTGTGTGTGTGTGTGTGTGTGTGTACTCACCTATTTGTGCTTGCTGGGGTTGAGCTCTTTGGTCCCGCCTCTCAACCGTCAATCAACAGGTGTACAGATTCCTGAGCCTATTGGGCTCTATCATATCTACACTTGAAACTGTGTGTGTGTGTGTGTGTGGGTACTCACCTAGTTGTGCTTGCGGGGGGTTGAGCTTTGTCTCTGTAATTGGTCCCGCCTCTCAACTGTCAATCAACTGGTGCGTGCGTGTATGTGCGTATGTTTGCTGGCCGTTCACATCACCTACCAGCCATTCCATACGGATATTAACCAACCAGTCATCCCATCGGGTTGCCAATCTTCCAGTCAAACGATCAGACTGCCCATCTGCCGGCGTTTGATTACCTTCCTATTGGCGCCTGTAAACACAGGATCATTGTGCGCCAACAATGGTCCGGTGTAAACAAGAGTGCCAACAGTGCCGACAATTCATGATCGGCGTCGCAAAAAAGACTAATTTTAAGTCCGAGGAAAATCTGCCGTAGTGGTGACATGACGCTGTGAGGACGTGTCGTGGTGGTGCGTCGTCGTGGTGGTGCGTCGTCGTGGTGGTGCGTCGTCGTGGTGGTGCGTCGTACGACATCTTCAACACCACCACCACCCCCCCCAGCCACCAGCCACCACCACCACAACAGCGGGCCAAGTACCATCTTGTGGTGAAGTGGTTCACCTTGAACACAGAACAAAAACGGTTCAGTACTGCACGAGACGACGACGTAGATTCCTGCTAATATAAACTACTTTTTTTTTCCCCCTTCATCTTTATTCATTGTGTGCACGCCACACCCCCCACCCCCCCTTCCGTGCCTCTCGTGCACGCCACACCCCCCACACCCCCCTTCCGTGCCTCTCGTGCACGCCACACCCCCCACACCCCCCTTCCGTGCCTCTCGTGCACGCCCCCTCCCCCTTACCTCTCTGTGACAGTGTGTGGGGGTGGGGGGGGGAGGGGAAGATGTGTGGAAAGGTGTGTTTCTAAGACGCGTGAAGGGAGGGAACCTGCACGTTAAGATGGAGTTAATTTCCAAAGTTCATTGTTTCCCCCAATAACATTTTTTGTTTACAGTGTTCTTGTTTGAAGGTTCTTTGTAATTAAGCTCCTTAGTGTCTCGTTAGTTCTCTCTCTCTCTCTGCGTATTGTTTGTGTCTGGTTAGTTCTCTCTCTCTCTCTCTACGTATTGTTTGTGTCTGGTTAGTTCTCTCTCTCTCTCTGCGTATTGTTTGTGTCTGGTTAGTTCTCTCTCTCTCTCTGCGTATTGTTTGTGTCTGGTTAGTTCTCTCTCTCTCTCTCTACGTATTGTTTGTGTCTGGTTAGTTCTCTCTCTCTCTCTCTACGTATTGTTTGTGTCTGGTTAGTTCTCTCTCTCTCTCTCTACGTATTGTTTGTGTCTGGTTAGTTCTCTCTCTCTACGTATTGTTTGTGTCTGGTTAGTTCCTCTCTCTCTCTCTCTGCGTATTGTTTGTGTCTGGTTAGTTTCTCTCTCTCTACGTATTGTTTG